GCTAAGCTTCAATCACAATTAAACCCACCACTAGGAACCACATATAAAAGGTCGCTTGCCCTAACTCTCTCGCATAACTTGAGCCCATTTTGAGAAAGAGCAATAGAAGGGAATGGCACACCCCACCTTGGAGAGTTCCTTGAGTTTATTATGGAAGCTTGTCTCTACACCACCTTGAAGGCCTAAGCCTAGCAGCACAAGAACCCCATTCTCCTCATTGTAAGGAATTGTTAGGCTTGCTGTAAGCCCCATTTACAGCAAGGTAAATCTTCTCCCTTGGCTCATTTTAGTCCACTTTGTTGCTATATTTCATTACTAGTCCAGTTACCCTTATGTGCCTTGCATCTCCATGCAACTTGGAATAATTTTGGCCTTAGTTCCTGGGAGCCCACACTGGCATGGGTCGGCAGAACCATGCGTTGTTGGAAGCTCCTTATGGTTAGGATCATCGTCCTTACGATCCCAAATTAGGAGAGAGTGATCCTTGTTATAGGGGAGCATGATTCCATGAAGAAGAAATCGCAATAGTAAGTTTTAAGGGATCGCGAATGATGTGTGGGTTCACAGTCCCATTGGGTACAAACCTGAATCTATAGTTGTTTGAAATGCATGTGACTCCAATTCACTCCAAGAATTGAAGTCACAGAATCGCATGTGCTAGATGATTCCCAATATTGGAATCGTCATCCATAGAATTAAAATCATCGGAGGCATGATTCCTAATAATCGGAATCACGATCCCATAAAATAGGAACCATGATTCCTATTTGTAGGAATCGATATCCCATTATGCTGGAATCGAATTCCTTACCTATCAGGAATCACACATGACCCCACAGCGTTCAATCACTACCGAAATCGCGATGCAACGAAATCAGAATTGTGATTCCTACATTATTTGAATCGTTCTCTCCATCGATTTGGATTTGAAATTCCCACAATTCAGGTATATGAGACAAGATATTTTGTGAGAAAATATTTAAATTTTTAAATCTCTTACAAGCTTGAAATCTGGAGGTCCATATTTTTAGTACAACATCTTTGTCAGCACTCCCATCTATTTGGGCTACCATCCAAATGTCCTACCATGAGGTGGGGCTGCCACCCACTACGTGATTTATAAATTGATGAATCTGTGGAGTAACTTGGCAAATCTTATTTTACATGGATTCAAATCAAAAGTTTATTAAGGCTTTTTGGCTCTCACAACATCACAGTCCCGAAACCCAAACCATGGATATTTAACCTTGTACAAAATGTAATATGAAATGAAAGGGTTTTTGGAACTCTTCTGGTAACATAGAATGGGTTCTTAGACCTCCTCTGGCAACATATAATTTGAGAACATATTTCAATCAACATGTGTTTAAATATTGATTTCGTGTCATTAGAACTTGATTCGATGTTGATCGAAACATTGTTCAATGCATCCGTGAACCGCGCCTTTTCACGATATGGATCAAGATTACAAATAATATGGATTGGAGATTTCTTAAAAAAATGGAATCAACGTCTTGCAACACGTTGAATAGAATTATTGTGCAACTATGAATCGCAAATTCTGCAATGGATTCCAAGCTTCCAGGAATCGAGAATCAAATAACAATCTAGATTTGTTTCGAGAAACTTGGAAACGTGATTTCTATCTTCCATAATCGTGTTTCATCCTGGGAACTATGGAATAGTGATTCTGAACTGGAATTGTGACCTCGATACACGATTCGGGTAACTATACCTGAATCAGTGGATATGAATCAATGCCGAATACAACTGCATCACACACTTGAGAACTGCGGTTCAACCTATAGTTGTTGGAAACGCTTGTGATTCCGATGTCAAATGATTCCTAATCTCGAAATTGCTGTCCGTACAATGAAAACCATCAGAGGCATGATTCCCAATAATCGGAATTGTGATCCAATAAAATAGGAACCATGATTTTTGTTTGTAAGAATTAGTATCCCATCATGTTGAATCGAGTATCCCACCTTTTAGGATTCACAAATGACCCCACATAGTTCAATGACTACTAGAATCATGATCCGACAAAACAGGAATAACTATTCCTACATTATTAGAATCGTTGCGATTGGGAATCGAAATTCCCACAATTCAGGAACCGTGCTCCCATCCCCTCTGGTATAAGAAAGAAGTATTTTGGGATAAAAGATTTAATGTTTTACATAGATGATTAGGGACAGACATAGATGATACCATACCATAGATAATACCAAAGCTTGGTATTAGCTTGAAAGACCAAGATGTTGCATTTTTCTCAAAATCCAAAGATCGTAAGTGGCTAGGAATTTCGATCACCATTAACCCATTTTCCTTTTTCTCTTTTTTTTTTTTTTTTCTTTTAGGGGTATAAGTCCATGCTCTACCAAATATACAACAATGAATGTTAAGCACTTTACTTAGACCATAGATGATCATTATAAGCATTTTATTGATCACCCACCAAACCTGCCCAAAGTAATCCTTTACTTGGTACAATAAATGATCAACAATAAGCATTTGGTTATAATATGAACATCTTACCTTGAGGTGGGTCTACCACCCAAGCTTCTTACCTTGAGGTGAGACTGCCACCCACTTCGTGACTCATAGATTAATAAATCCGTTGAATAACTTGGCAAAGATTATTGTACATGGATTCATCTTGAAAGTTTATTAAGGCTTTTTGGTTCTCACAACATCATAGTCTTGAAACCCAAATCATGAGTATTTAACCTTTTACAAAATTGTAACATGATACAAACGGGTTCCTGGAACTCCTCCAATAACATAGAATCAGTTTCTGAAGCTCGTCCCACAACATACAATGTGAAAAACTATTTCATTCGACATTTGCATTTGAATCTTGATTACGTGTCATTAGAACTTGATCCGATGTTGATCGAAATATTGGTTGGTGCATCTAAGAATTGCGTCTTTTGATGATGTAGAACTCGCTTTCAAGTGACATGGATTTGCGATTCCTAAAAAACTGGAATCGGCATCTCGCACACGTTGAATCACATTGTTGTGCATCTCTGAATCGCAAATTCTTTGATATGGAATCTAGATTCCAACCTTCCAAGGATCGAGAATAAAATAATAATTTGGAACGCATTCCATGAAACTAGGAAATGTGATTCCTATTTTCCATATTTGTGGTTCATCCTGGGAACCACAGAATCGCGATTCCGATTCGGAATCGTGACCTTGGTATGCAATTCGGGTAACTATAGTTTAAACCCGCAAGGAACGAGGATCACAATATAGGGATCAGTGTTCCATCCAGGATCCCTAGTTGGAATCATGGGATCGAGGTTCTAGAGTGCGTCCGTGACCTTTCCTACAAGGAATAGCTTTGGCCTATTTTCTTTGAGCACTTGTATCTGAAATTTTCTGGGATATTTGTGATATAACAGTGAGCAAAAATATTCTTTCTTGGATTGAAAATATCTTTCTTGTAGCCCTCATTGTGTGCCTCATGGCTATGGAACCCATGCTCACATTTCCATGCACCTACCTCTAGGCCCATTGCTTTCTTCTCCACACGTTGACCTTATCGCAAATATCAAGAGATTTCTCCATGACAAGTTGAAAGATTAAGAGGGCTGAGATATTTTCTGGGAATAGAAGTGGAACAGACTGGGGATACATTCAAGTGTCTCAGCACAAATATGCATTTTATTTACTCGAACACTATAATATGTTGAATTTCAAACCATCAGCTACACCTGCAATGCTTAAAAAAAGATTAAAAAGTCATGAAGACAAAATAGTTGATGATCCTAAAAAATAAAGAAGAATGGAAAATGCGCTTCAGTATAATACCCTTGCTCGTCTTGATGTTGCATTTGTAGAAAATCAGGTATGCCAATTTATGCATGCTCCTACCAATGATCATTTGGAATCCTTAAATATATCCAATATAACAAAGGTCCTATTAATCAAGGCATCACACATCATAGAAATCATGTAGAAGATGTACATGTCACTTCCATTATTGCTACTAGAATGCAGATTGTGCAAGAGAACCTAACTCATGCAGGTCAATTTTAGGATATTGTGATTATTTATGAAGAAAATTCGCTTCCTAAAGGAGCAAGAAACAAATAATTGTTCTAAGATAAAGCACAAACGTTGAATACAGGGCATTGGTCACTTGGATGTAAGGTGCAGCCCTCAAAAATTCATTATAATGATCAGAGTCACTAGCTATCGCAGCTAATCCTATTTTCCGTGATCGCACTAAACACATATAAACGTTGATTATCATTTTGTGCGAAAGAAGATAGAAGAAGAGGCGATTCAAGTCGAACATATTGGGACAGAGAATCAAACTGGTAATATCTTCACCAAAGGACTCACAAGTGACAGCATTCTAGAGGACAAATTGTATGTTCAAATGCGATGTACAATTTGACGGGGTGTGTTGAGAATATGTACTTAATGTATAATGTCTGATTGTAGCGATTTATATTTTGCCTTACACCTTTTTGTCATGGTCATCATGGTCAAGGGAATTATTGTACAATGCAATTACATACTTAATGAAGAGAAGCAAACACTCCGCCAAGTTAGATCAAGGGGGATTTCTAGCATTTCTTTCTCTTATTCTCGTTCCTTTTCTCTTCAAGCTTTTCTATCATAGGCAACAAAATGCACATGGTAGAAGCCAATTAATTGATGTAATTGACATAGGAACAAACCTAGTTATTATACACCACAAATATCATAAACAAAACAGAATGTTAGCCTGTAATACATATATCATTTGCCTTGGCCATTCAAGGAGGAAAAATATCAAACATGTTATGACCAGCTGCAAAATGAGGCAAATGCACGTTCAGCACATAAAAGAGAACAAGAAACATTATGAGAATTAGTCCAATATACATATATCTAAAGTATGGTCAGACAAAAAAAGATTTCCAAGGTCAAAATATGAGAATTGTGAACATGAATAGAAAACAAATGCCACATGATTAGGGTCAGTCTCAACTAACCTGACCATTGTTTAAAATTCCAGATGATACACTCATGTCAATTGTTCCATTTCCATAGCAACGTAATCCACCGGAAAAATTTTCGCCTCGAGCACATTTCGTCAAATATATGTAGTCAGTTGGTGTAATGGCATAGGAAAGATTATCCCAGTCTATATCAGGCAAATCTTCGACTTCCCTGTAGAACAACAATACATAAACAACCAAACCTCATAACAAAGAGAGTAACATATATTTTAAATCTTCAAAGAAAAGGAAAATTGGATCGATCTTTTCCCTAAATGAAGACATTAACAATCCAATATTGGCTTCTTAGAAATGACCTTTGATGAGATTTTAAAAAATGCATATGGCACTCTGGTTATTGCTGTACATTGTCCACAATCACTAGCCAAAGAACAGTAACTCCATTTCACTAAGTAAATATCAGAACAATGCAAAACAAATCTCTGAACATAGAAAGATAATCAAGCACAGCCGCTTGAAATTGACACACAGTTGTGTGTGGACCCTTGCTTTTCTAAGTTCCCATCAGAAGGCATAACTGTAACGTCCATTGGACGTTACATGGGCAGAATGCTCTTCTTCATCTTTGGCCATTATCATCTCTATATAGGACCGTACTTCTCTTGACGGCTAGTATTGCTGATGTCACAATTTCCCGCCAAAAATTTATTTTATTTTTTTATTTTATTTTTTTCATAAAATCCTTTTTAGTGGATTTAGGAGCTTACGATTTTTCTTATTGAGGACATTAAATTAAAGAAAAAGTTTATATAAGGTTGTAACTTTAAAATATAGAATTAAAGATGCACCTCAAAAATCTATAGAAAAATATTGTTTTAATGTTGAAAACTCTCTACTTAGTTTCAAAAATAGTACATCTTGCAACACATTATCTAAACCGTACATTTCAAGATTTTCATAAGTCCATAGATCTATTTGATTTTAAATACCTTTTTAGTTTAAATTTTTATAATTAGAGAAAAAAAATAGATTTTAAAATAATCCTAAGAATTTTTTACTCCAAAATTACATGGTATGATTAATTTTGGAGGTATGCCTTAATTGGATAGTTTAAGGTTCAACCTTGTAGAAACCACACCCTAAAATTAAGGGAAAAATGGTTTATGGTGAGTCGGCTTACTCACACAATTATTATGCAGCGTTCCTACAAAATCTATCTTAAAGATGTATTTTCAATCCAAAATTTTAGAGTTGAATAATCTCAACCATAACAATAATCTAATTTTAGGATTTTTCTTTTTCAAAAAACTTAAATGTTATTTTTTTGAATTCCTTTCTTCACCATCTATTTTAACTTTTAATGGATGTAACAGTTTTTGGCATCCATCCCCTTTTAGTGGATGTAACATTTTCTGACATGTTAGACAAGGGAGCACAATAATAGGTGAATCAGCTGACTCACCAAAACCGTGTCCAAAACTACGTAACCAAAGAACACGGTTCTGCCCTAAGGAGCAAGAAAGATGATCATACTTCCAAGGGGATATAAGGAAGTTGTTACCTGTTCCTAAGGTGAAATACCACAACAAACCAGTCCCATCAATTCAGAGCAAGGAGCAAAGTAAAACAAAAAGACCCTATCTTGAAGCTAAAAGTCCAAAAAGGAAAATCTGCCCAAAGTTTCAAGTCAAATGCCTCAACTACCCATTAAAGTCAAACCAAATAAACATTGGAAAAAAGAACTCTGAACATTGGAAAAGAACTCTGAACATTGGAAAAACGGTCGCTGAGTTGAAAATACAAAAGAAACCATGGACGAGCAAATGAAAAAGAAAATCCTAAAGTTAAGAAAGCTCACAAAATCCAAAGCAAAATGAAAGATAATCCAAATTTCCTGAAAGTCAAGAAAAGAAAGGGTCCAACATAAGAAGTAAAATCAATAAAATATTAGATGGTCCAAGTCAAAATTGGCCTAGTGCAGAAAGCAAAGCCAAAGGGCATTATTCTGACAAACTACGGTTAAGGATCTTTCCAACTAAATTTGAAGGACCTTGAACATCCAAATTTCAAATGTTCAGAGTGGGGGTGCGAGATTAAAAATCAAGGTGATCCCAAGTACTGAGAACAATATCTCTCGTCTTCCAAGTTACTGGTAGATTTGAGTGCCTCGAAGAAATATTCTTTCGATTGCGACATAAGGACTAGATATTTGAAGATGGAGTACTTGATAATTATTGGTCTTGAAAGTCTTAGGCAAGGTTGACCAAGTTCATAGGACCACCAAAAGTCACAAGTGGTTAAATTGTAAGGCTGATGTTTTTAATAGAATTTTTTAAAATCTCTCCTCAAAGACCTTTTAAAAATTCTTTTTTGAGAAATTTTTTTTTGAAAATTTCTCTACAATGGCATGAGATTAAACGGTTAACCTCATTGTTTTTAAAATTTTGTATCTTGTGATTTCCAAACACTTTAATTTCTTTGTTAAAATCATAACACTTTGTACTTGGTTCTGTTTTTAAAATCCTCCCTATTATAGAATTTGTGAAAATATTTTCTAAAACGAAAGAGTTGGATAGCCCGTACATGATGTAACTGCATTCTCACCTTCTCTAAAGTCTTGAATAATGAGCTACAATTCCTTAATAAGACATTCTTACTATAAACCTCTGAAAGAAATCAAGCTTGAAAGGGAAAATGGAACTATGAAAAAGTAGCCAAGTTCAAAACTCAAAAATTGAGAAATTTGAAAGCCTAAAATCAAGTGGCATGGCTAGAAAATCAAGTTCAAAGTCTGATGAAAAATCGATATAAAGAAAAATCCTAAAAAAGTTCAGGTAAAATAAAATCTGGGATGGACATGCCCTAGCTTACTGTGTAAGATAACAACGCATCTTGAGAATGCTCCAAAAATGGACTGGTGCGCCCTCTAGCCATTTGGCATTAGGTAAGAAAAAGATCAAATATTGACAACAGGTAACTACTTGTTTGTCGCATACATGTTCTTTGAATATCAGGGTGTGCCAAATAGGGGCAACTTTGACACCTAATTTTAAAATTCGTTAATTTTCTCATCCTAAAACTCTGAAATTCTGAGAAATCTATAAGCCAAAACCATAGGGATCATACTACCTTAGTGCACCATAGCTTAAAGTCCATAATCCCTAGTAAAACCACCAAATCTACCTAAATCTAGTCAAACCAACTTAAATATGTTAAAATGTAGTTGAAGATATCTTGATTGATCTAGATTTGTTCAAAATAGCATAGAAAACAATTAAGTGTGGCCTTTGAAACAAGTCCAAATTCAATCAAACTACCCCAGAATAGACCAAAGAATCTCTAGAATCATCTGGAGATGGGTTTGGTTCAGCGATGCTCCAAATGAGCCCAGCTATGCGTATCGCATCGCTAACGATTATAGAGTCTAGAAAGTTCAGGGAACCGTGCAACACATTTTCAGCCACCTTCTAGAGACTTCTAGTTATGTTGAACGATGGGGTTTGACTAATCTAAAAGCCTTAGAAGCATAATCCTCTTAGATTTAAAACTCTGAAAGAAAGACATAGAACTCCTTATACTAATCAAATTAGAGTTCAATCACAACCCTATTTAAACTACCCTCTAGGTTCTATTAGAATTTAGACCTTTAAGCATTTCGATCTTAGAGAACCTAGAATCCCATAGTTTAAACCTTTAGGCTAGAATTCTAACCCTAAAGTCCTAATCCAAGAGAAACACTAAAGAAACATTGGAAAAGTCTAGGTGACCTAACCCCAAGCCAAATTTGAATTCTCGATAAATTTGAAACCCTAATTTGAGAAAATCCTTTCGAAGACAATGCTCTAAGAAAATCAAACCCTAAGAGGATCATGTTCTTGATACTATTTAACAAGTTCTCAAGAACAGAGAAGGAGAACAAAATAAATAGCATTATCGGTCTAATATGGGCCCCAACTTCGGGTTCCAGGTGTCTTAGGCCACCGCTCAGTCCAGGTAAGTTATCTTCCTAATTTAGTTTAATTTCAATTTATTTTCTATTTTCCATGTTTCCCTAGTTTTCTATTTTGATTTTTGCGTGATTTTACATTCGCTCTGCCTAGTATAAGCGGTCCAGCCATTATGTCAAGCCAGGCAAGCTCAAGCGTGGTAAGAAATTTAAAGGCAAGCCAAAGTACAACAATCCTCCCAATAAAGAAGAAATGAAGATTGAGGGTACTAAAGGCCAGAGCACCAAGCGAAGGGGAGCTAAGTGGAAAGCTCCTAAGGACATGTCAACCTTGACCTGCTTTAATGCATGAAGACCGGTCTGTTCCCTCGTGAATGTACTGAGTAGAAGAAGGAACAAACCATTTATTCTATTGATTTTGCTAGTTTGCGTATAGAGGTGCTAGTTGCATATCCCTTTTTTTAACAATTGGATTGTTGACTTTGGAGCGACGAAAAGAGTTTGTTGAGGTTCAGTAAGCTCCAATAGAAGATTTGAAGATATTAATAGGAAATAATAATTGAGGACGTGGAGGGAATGGGGACCTATCAGTTAGAGTTTCTATCTAGAATCATGCTTTTCTGCCCCTAGGATGATGGTGAGCTTACTTTCAATCCCTAAAATCTCTTGAAGGACATTTAGTTTTCATTTTTGGGCAATAAAATAAAAAAGTGAAATTGAAAATAATTCTAATTTTGGTAGATGTAAAGTCGAACTTTTTGCGAGGGATATGGAAGATTGTTCTTGTTCTCCTTCATCTACTTCTCTTCCTGAAATTCATGCTATGCATCATCCTTCCTATCTTCTTTTTCTTTTTCATCTGTACATGATGATGTCTTTGCTTCTATGATGTGTCATGCTAAATTGGGGCATATAAGTAAAGATAAGATGAGTAGATGGGCAAATCCATTTAAAAAACCACGAAGACCCATGTGAAATGGGCAAATCTACTAGAAAATCTTGTTTGATGGGAAAATCCACTTAAAAACCATTTTCTAATGCTCAAAGATCGACATAAATCCTAAGAAATTGTGCACTCAAACATTTAGGTCCCTTTATTATGAAGTCCTACGACAAATCCTAGTACTTCATCAGATTCATTGATGATTACCCACATTATGGTTATGTTCATTTCATCTCACATAAATATGATATAATTGATTACTTTAAGAGCTTTAAGTCAGAGGTTAAGAACCAGTTAGGAAAGAGATTAAGGTTCTTAGAACTAACAGTGGGCACGAGTACACCTCCGGACTATTCTAGAAGTTCTGTCAAGATAATGAGATTCGTCATAAGGAAACAATGTCCTATTTTTCACATCAAAGTGGTTTTGCAGAGAGAAGGAATTGTACCCTTATGGATATGGTCATGTCCATGATGGTATAAGCAAATCTCCTAGTGAGTTCTTAGGGAGATGCTTTGTTGAATATGAAGCTATTAAAATTGTGCTTAAAATCCCTTAAGAATTATGGATGGGCAAAAACCTGAATTATCCCATTTGCGTCCTTGGGGTCAGTTGTTTTGTTCATACCCCATCTCAGTTGAATAGTAAACAAGACATAATGTTCATAGAGTGTAGTTTTATCAAGTATCTTGAAAACTCTAAAGGATATACTCTTTGTTATGAGTTTGAAGAGGGTGGATTGAGAAAGATCGAATCCAGTGATATGAACTTCATCGAGTCAAAATTCCAAAGTAAGAAGTGATCTCAGATGACCTTAGACCTCTATGAGTCGATTAAATCTTAGAAGTAGGATGGTGAGGAAATTATTGCACTAGAGGAAGGTAGTGGGAGTGTTCTCATGGTCGATTAGGACAATAGGAGTGAGGCATCATTTGTTTTTAAACCCTGTAAGAGTGCACATGGTAGAGTTCCTTGGAGAAATTTTGAGATTTAAAGGGAGGGCTTGAAGTATGTGGTGAGGAACCTCTTCATATCAAAAAGCTCTGAGATCATGGAATGTAAAGCCAAGTCCGGAAGAATCTTAGATGAAATCCTTTTTGATTTATGCTTCAAATTCAACAATTAAAATATCCATAGAAAATGTGGGGATAGGATTTATGCTTCAAACTAAAACATTAAAATATCCATAGAAAATGTGGGGTGAATTATAGCTTATGGAGAGATAGATCTACTGAAATAGTTTCTCAGCCTTCAATTCAAGATGATGAGAATGATAAATAAATGTTTTAACATTCTCATCATCTATCATCATAATTTTCATCTTCTCCTAAGATTGTGGAAGTGATTTAAGGACAACCATATTTTGTTGCTCGTCACTTAGCACATTGTCTGTAGCACTCAGATCATGTATCATCTATGATATTTGATGGCATCGTATACGTCTTGAATGACCTCATGAGTGTACACAATCTAGTGGCTGAGGTGCTAGCAAAATGGAGCTGCAACACCTGCCACATCTCCCTGGCTATTGGATAAGTCTCAAATTACCCAATCAGATTGTTTTGCTTGCTACTTCACATTCTGAAGCATGCAAAATGATCTATTTTGAGCCATGTTTGTTATGTTTATATTTCACGAGTACTTAGGCCGAGGTCCCCTCCTTGGGAGGAGTCATGCTAGTGGTTAAGTGTTCAAGCACACCTTGCTCCTTAAGTAGGTACTGAATCTTATGAATGCCACATGTCATAATTCTTTCCATTCAATTTCTTTCCCTTGAGGAGAATAACAATCACAATCTTGGATGCCATGGTAGTCTGTCACATGAGAAACAAGATAAGATCACAGTGGCATAGACAATTTAGTTTTTTTATATATGGCTACACGATCATATAAAGTATTATTGCACCTTTCACTCTCTTAAGTCTTTGATGATTGAGATAGTCAAAACTCCAAAATACTCGAATTGAAATTTTGTATAGCCCTACAGACCAGAGCTAGTAATCATCATCAAGTAAAATTTTAGAGGCTCGATACCCCAACCCTTTTCACAAGTGAGTGTTTGCATTGCTGATGTAAAATCTGGCTAAAATTGCAATCTAATGATGGACACCGCCCATGAAAACCCCCAAGATTAGTTTTGCTCAATGTTGTGGGTCAACACGTCGCAAAAAAAATGTGTTGAAGTGACACAAAAAGGGCTTCTATGCTAACAAGGGTTTGAGAAACACATTTAGCCATGGGCACCTGACAGTTGCACTTGGCTTCGCGAGTTATCTCAAAACTATAATAATCCTATGCTGACATCTGGATGCCAAGCTATGTACAATTTTAAACTAAGGCTGTGCGCAATTACATGCAGCTATATATATATATATATATATATATATATATATATATATATATATAGAGAGAGAGAGAGACGAGACGACGACAGAGTAGTAGGTAAGGTAGGTAAGTAAGGACGTAACGGTCGACGGGTACGTACGTAGTAAGGTTAAAACGGGGAAAACG